ACAGAAAATTTTGAAAATCACATGACATCACTTATATGTGGGATATAAACCTAAAAGCAACAAACAAACAGGACAAACAGAGACTCATGGACATGGGCAATAGACTAGTGGTTACCAGAGAGTAGAGGGGAGCGCAGAGGGGAGAGGTAGATGGGGTAAAGGGGGTCAAATATGTGGTGACAGAAAGAAATTTAACTATGGGAGGTGAACGCACAATGTAAATATATATATACATATATGTATATATATTTGCCTTACTGTTAAAATGTACAACTGAAACTTACTACATTTTGTTCACCAATGTCACCATAAAAAATTTTTTTAATTAATAAATGGAGTTCTATATATTGACTTAGATTCAAGATTTCCATGATATATTCTCAAATTTAAAAAATGTATCTATAGCACGATTCTATTTTGTTAAAACACTTGTTTAAAAGAAAAAACCCTTACATGTACATATGTTTACTTATATTTCCGTTAGCATTCATAAAATAGAGGAAATATGCATACAAACTTAACACTACTCAGTAGTAGAAGTAAGAGAAGCAAAGGATAGAGAGGCTGATCATTCCATTTGTTTTCATACCCTTTAATCTAATTTAATTTGTTAGAGACCATGTAACTTTTGTAACTTTCTGAATAAAAAAGAATTAAGGTACTGTTTTAAGTTCAAGGGGCACTGTATACAGTTGTTCAGACTGAACACTGTACGACAATCTGGTAGGGGGAAGTATGCACCCTGCAGACATGAGAGAGTGAAAGGAAGGGTGCCGATACCAGCCCCCAAGTGCCAAAGCTACAGGGAAGAGTCCTTTCCGACTTAAAACCCATACACATGCACTGGAACCTGCACACGCTCAGGAAAACATGCACATACATCGCTGGCAAACTCTCATACGCATCTCTGTCCCAGCCACGCTCCAGGTGTCCTCGAAGGTTAAATCTCTTGCTTGCCCTCCACTTCTGGAGATCCAATTCCCTACCCTGCCCTACTTCGAATCTGCTATAACCTCTTTACTTAATGGAAGGACGAGGGTGGAAACAGATGGGCTGCCAGGGACATGTGTCCTGGCATTAGGAGAAAAGGCAGGCGGGGAGTATGAGCAAGTGAGATTGCAGGCACATGTGTGTTCTCTGTCAGGACGTCTGCATGCTGGGGTTCAGGAAAGCTCTCCGCTGGGCACAGCCAGGATGGGGCTGCCTATACACTGTTCAAGCTATGAGGTAATATACTAAATTTAACCAAATTTTACTTGAGGAAGGATACCTTTCTCTAATCTGCACAGAGATGCCATATGGGCAAGCAGAAGTCCTGCTAATAAGTGGCAGAGACAGAATGCAATCCCAGACCTCACTCCATTATCAGCTGTGGGACTGTGAGGATAAAAATATGATCATGGATGTTACAGCACTTTGGTAAAAGTAATAAATATGAAGTATCATTCTAAACAATTCTCCAGTACTCCAGCCAGCAGAGTTCTGGAGGTTATCTCATCTCTAGGCGCATGAGAACACAGGCCACTGGGACAGACTGATGTCTATGCTTCCCTTAAAGACACCACACCCACAGTGACCTTGCATTTTTCCATTTCTTTTACATTTAAGGCTGTATCTGGTATTTAGAAATCGGTGTATTTTATAATGTTGATAATCTTTCTTTGAGAAGATGTGGTATGTTGTGTATGTGGCTGTCTGTATGTCTATGTCTATGTGTCTTTATCTGTGTGTACGCATGCTCATGGATATATATGTGTCCAGACTCAGTAGAATTTGAAACTCCCAGAGAAAAGACATAGCCCTTTGCATCTCCCACAGTCAACTGTTTTTCTTTGGTCACTGCATGAAGATTTAAACAAATGAAAACACTTCTAATCGAGATAAAATTAAATAACATACAAATGATGCCTAGACAGTACTTGGATTATGATAAATACTTATACATCTTTTTCCCCTCATTCCTCTTCTGATTCAAAAAGAATAAGAACATTCATTCAATAAGATTAATTTGAGGTCATTCATTAAATGCCAGACATTGCTCTGGTTATTGGGGATACAATGATACATAAGAAATAATCTCTTCTTCTCAAGTCTTTGGTCCATCTGGCCAGAAAAATATCTTTGATTGTAACCTCTTACATGTTATATGGAGTTGTGAACAATACACTCTCGATTGGAGGACAGTGGAAGGGTAATTTGATGGTTTTAATGATTTTCTAGGGTTGGAAGGGTAATAGGAGTTCCCCTATTCCCCTCTGGAAGGTGATGTTTGTATAGGGTCTTGAAGGATGAATAGGAGTTCACAGAGCCAAAAATCAGCAAGAGTGTTACAAGCAGAGGAACTAGAATAAGTTTCAATATTAAAAATTAGCTTGAAAATAACCACTTTTCTGAGTAAAAATATAATCTATTGCAACTGCAATAGATTTGGGAAAGGATTCCAAATCAAAAGCAGTTGATTGGAAGAAAGAAAAGTGCTTCGGAGCTGGGCACTCCATCAATCATCTCACACTTAGGGCTGTTTAGGCCCTGGCACTAAGCTTTATATACTTTTAGTTTAAGGATGTTTGGAGCTCTTTAAATTATGCATGTTATTATTTTCCATTATCTAGAAAGGAACTGTTTTTAAAGCCAAAAACCAAAAGCTATAAGGCCCAAGAATTTATTTTAAACCTAAGAATTTCCCCAAGGCCTGGAATTTGATATCTAGGTTCCAGATTTGGGGGTATTTTCTGGGCTCCCTTCTCAGACCTGCCTACGTGTGTCTCTGGCCTCCCCCCCACCTCCATCTGCACCATCTAAAAAAAAACAGCAGGGCAGCTTTCCAAAGCCCTAGGTCAGCCTCTGCTGGTAACTCTACCTGGGGAGAAAAGAAGCTCTGATGACCCACTAGATCAAAGATAAAGCCCAAAGTGTTTACAGTATCAACTTTCACTCCCTGGAGAGAAGGGCTGTATCTTTCTCTATAGCTGCAAGACCCAACTGTAGCTTTTTGAATGACTGGCCCCATTGGCACCTCCAGGCCCAGGAGCCCAGCTGCTGCCCTAGCCCAGCCCAGGGAGGGAGGGAAGAAGGGAAGCCGCTGACAAGCCGCCCAACACGAGAACAAAGCTATCAACCCCATCTCTGCAGGCTACCAGCCTTGCCCTCACACCTGCCAGGCAGGGCCTTCTCTTTCTTGGTTAACTGTTTTGTCCACTTAGTTCAGCAACGGGCACATGGGAGGCTTTCAGTCAGGGCTTATGCTTCATTAGCAGCTCAGTTTTGTGACAAAACCTTGAGATCTGGACTCAGGAGATCTAGGTTGATATTCTTCTTCCACCTGTCACCAGTTGCCTATCTAAGCCTCGTTCTCCTCATCTTTAAAATGTCAATGAGAATCATGTCTGATCTAGCTGTCTCTCAAGGGGGCTCACTCATTTATAAGGACAGCAATGTGGAATAGAAGAGGCAGTATGGGATGAAGGCTAAGGGCTCAGCTCCTGCATTATGCTGCCTGGGTTCCCATAGCAGCAGTCTGTTATTTCCTAGTTATGCAACCATGGGCAATGGTTGCATTTTCTTTGATGCCTCAGTGTCCCTCATCTGTAAAATGGAATTGTAATAGTTCCTACTTCATAGGGTCATTAAGGGGATTAAATAAATGAATAGTTAGTTATAAAGAGTTTAGTATAATGTCTGGCACATAATAAAGTTTATCCAGTATCTGCTCAGTTGTCGATGCTGGAAGGTGCTGGGGTTCTAGCAATCAAAGACACAGAGCTCACAGTGTGGTAACCATGAAGAGAATCAAATAAAATAAGAGCAAAAGCAAGTCAGGTCGTTAACCCTCCCCACACACACCTCACTTCAAAACTCGCGTGCACGTGTATGCAGTGTGTTGTGTGTGTGTCCTCACTGTATAATATGGCCCTTGCCTACCAATCCAGTCCCTTGTTCTTTACCCTCCAGCCTTGCCAGACTCCTTTCTATTCCTTGAGCCTATCAAGCTCTTTCCTGCATCATGGCCTTTGCTGTCTGTCAAATCTGCCTTGAAAAGTGGTTCCTGGTCTGGAGGCAACAGCATCTTCTGAGAACTCATTGGAAATGAAAATTCTCCAGCCCTACCCTGTCCCTCCTGAATCGGAAACTATGGTGGTGGGCCCAGCAATCTGTGCATTCTGGTGCACGCTGATGTTAATAAACCACTGTCCTGGAACACTCTTCCCTCTGTTCTTCTTTTGGCTGGCCCTTCCTGGGTAAGGAATTCCTCCTTACGCCTCTGAGAAAAGCACCTACAGACAAAAAACAAAAGAGGTTTGTGACGTGGCTTGTGCATTCTCTGTTGATTTATCATTTCATTTGGAAGACATTAAAAGTCTCTTTAAGAAGCCAGTTTGGAACCCCTAACAGTTCTGGATGGATGAAGTCAGAAGAGCTGGAGGCAGGCACAGTGACACATAGAGATTACCTGGCCACGCGGCTATTTCAGAAAGAGACAATGGAAAGCATAGAGGCCCGGAACAGGTGAACTCGCCTAAGGGAAACTAAGTCACTTAGGGATATTTAGGACCTAATGTAAAAACAGAAACGTTAAGGACATAATTAACACCTATATTCTAATCTCAGTAGAGCTAAGTACAGACTTAAACATAAGCTCGAAAATAACAAGATAGCCCCAGAAGGACAAAAGAAAATCTAGAAAGATGTTACTAAAAACAGTTAAGTTAGAGATACCTAGGAAGTGTTTTTTTTTTTTTAACATATTGTCTCATCGTAGTTAAAAAAAAAAAAATCGAAGTTCATTGACTTATGGCTTTTATCTAAATATTTGTCAATACATAGATTAAGTATATTCTTGCCATATCTACAGTCTGCATTACCCAGGCAGACACACCCACACTCAAGTAGTGTCTGACAAGTAGTGTCTCCCTCCCAGTAAAAGCAGAAAGAACCTGGAAGGAATGAAAGGCTCCAAAAAATGCCATTCCAGCAACAAGAATATAACAAGGTCATGGAGAAGGGGAGCAGCCAGGCCATGGGCACGAAGCGAGGCCCAGGCTGCCGATGTGCACAAACAGACTTCTTCGTCTGGTGCACTTCTGAAGAAATAATGCAATTGTGAAAGCCAGAGAAGCCACAAATAGAACAAAGGGAGGAAAGGAAAAATCAATATGCAGTAAAGAGGAGGAAAGGAGCCAGGCATGATGGCTGAATCTCTGGTAAGAAAGGGAAACAGGCAGCAGTCTAAGTCAATGGCTCTACATCCCACATCACAGGGCCTGGGCATGGACGATGTTCCCAGATCATTTTCTGGGTAATCTGCACAAACTCCTTCACAGCAGGCACGAGTATCTACCTTCTATGCATGGAAAATTGAGAGTCAGAAAGATTACATAATTTGAACCCAGAGCTCCAACCCCTCAGGCCAAGTTTCTTCTCAGCCACCACATCTGTCTGGTCTATGAGGACACTCAGGGAACATGAGCCACAGGGAGTTTGGAAGGAGAGAGGACCACTTTACCTGTGTTTATGGAGTTGGATCCCCAAAGCCTATTCACCTGGGAAACAGCCCCTGGGGAAACTTGACTCCTTGCCTCTCCCCGCGCTGCACAAACTGATGTCTATCTCAGAAAGCAGTCGATGTGAGATCAGCTAGAGGCCTACACCAGGGCTCAGAAAAGGCACACTTCGCTCCTGGGGACTCGCTCCTTATTCCCCACCTTCCCAGAGGCGAGCAAAAGAGAAGGGCACTCAGAAACATGGCAGGTGTGAGGCTCCCCACACTGAATTCACCATTCTTTCCTTGTTGGGCTCTCCCCACACCCAGTGAGAAGCAAGGACTCCCCTTCATGGATCCACATCCTGAGCCTCTGGAACCTGCATCACCATCTTCCTCCCTCCCACTCTGTAGGGTTTTAGTTGGAGAGTATGACAGAACTTGCTAAATCAAAGTGGTTTCCCCAGCAACAGTGGGAGAAGCAGGTTTACTTACTCCAGGTAAATAATGCATGAGCTCAGGCTGGGAAATACGGCAACCAAGTTCATGTTACTAACAGGTTCACTGAACCTCGCAGCTCTGTTCCTGAGCCCAAGTCCCAGGGGATAATGTTGCAATTCCCCTCCCTCCCTTCCCTTCCCCTCCAAAGGAATCCTTTCTGTATTCATGTTGTGTTGTGTGTATGTGTGTGTGTGTGTGTGTGTGTGTGCATGTTTTTTTTTCCACTGGCCATTTCCTATTACCTAAATCAAACTGCTTCTGCCTTCAAGAGCAAAGGACCAAGCCCCCATCCTTGATGTGGCTGCTTTCACCTTTAAAGACAGGGTACTGAGACAGGCTCTATTTTGCAAAGTCCAAGAAGGCAGCACAGAGTCACACCACTCTCCCCAGTCTGCCGGATGATAGTTCGATTCCAAATCCAGTAGGTATACCTGACAGGTGGCCAGGTCCCCACACTCCTGGGCACAGATGCTCTCTGCCAAGAAGAAATGTAAACTGAACCAAATCCTGAAAGAACAATTTCCGATAAAGACCATGTGCTCCTCCCTCTCCCTGAGAATAACTGATACTGAATCTGCATCTCTCTGCCTTCCCAGAAGATGTTGCGCCTTTCCAATTGGTACTCTGAAAGTAGTAAGTTGTTTTT